CATAGTTCAAATTGGTTTTGAGACCTTAGAGATCCTAGGTGCTGAAGTCAAGAGATACAACATTTTTAAAAATAATGCCCATACCCCCTCTCTGCAACTGCAATCTAGTTTTCCATAGCCTTAATGATGAACTACAGAATGTAGGGCCACTGGTTTCTTTTTCCAAATCAGAGACTAGAATGGCAATCCTAAGGAAATAATGCAGAGTCCTTACTTTCTAGACTACCACACATCTGACAGGAATGTGTGCCTTTCTTCTTTTTGTGAGCCTCCTTGTCACTTCATGGCATAGTCAGAAAATAATGGAGAGACTCCATTACATTGAGCACTAGTTAAAATTGTAAGCATTGGGGGCTGGAGAGATGGCTCAGCGATTAAGAACACTGGTTGTTCTTACAGAAGACCCAGGTTCGAATCCCAGCACCCACATGACAGCTAACAACTGTCCATAACTCCAGTTCCAGGGAATCCGACAGCCTCTTCTGTCTTCCGTGGGCACTGCACAACACGGGTGCACTTACCTACATGCAGGCAATACACACACACACATAAAATAAAAATAATTTTTAAAAAATTACTGTAAGCATTGCTTTTTAGACTGGGCACCTTTAATTCCAGCTCAGGAGGCAGAGACAGGTGAATCTCTGAAAATTCAAGGCCAGCATGATCTATTTAGTGAGGTTCAGACCAGCCACAGAGACCTTGTCTCAAAACAAAACAAACAATAACTACTTTCCTATGAAAACAATGTGACGGGAATGGTTCCTTCCGAACAAAGAAACAAAAATGGTACCCAGGGAATGGGAAGATGGCACTCGTTGCAGGCATGAGGACCCCAGTTTGAACTCCCAGCAACCATGTAAACAAGCTTATCATCCCAGCACTGGGGAGCAGAGACAGATGGCAAGCTTCCAGTTCACTGACAGACCTTGTCTCAAGGCAATAACGGGGGGAAGTGATGGAAGAAGACATTCAACGTCCTGCTCTAGCCTCTGTATTCACATGCACAGACACGCACATCAACACTTTCATGTGCATGTAAAATACACACATGCACACACATGCACAGGCACACACACGCACACACACATAGCCAATAGTTAATGTCTAAGTGATGTCTTTGAAGGTGTTCCAGTAAAAGAACAAGGTGTTGGACAATATTAAACAATGGGTTTTAATGCCTTTCCTCCTAAAACTCGTTTTCACAGCTAGGAGTAACAAGCAATTGCCAGCAAAGCTGGAATAGGAAAATCAAATACTCTGCCTATTTACATACGGCTCCCTGAAGCCATTCCTGATTAAAAATTGTACCACTTCAATCTTCCTTCTGGAGATATCTATTAACTAGAAATGCATGTGAAAGCCAATGAATTTGGAATATAATTACACATATCCTATACAAATTACTTCTCAATGGCTTCTACTCAAGAAAATAAACCAAAGAACAACGATCAGCTCATTATAAACCTACAGGAAGACTTCCCTGGGAAAAGGTACTGAGAGCAAGTCCTGAAAGATCTTAAGCTTCAATGAATTTAATTTCAGCAGAAAGTAATCACTTTAGATCTGAACTCCCAGCACACTTCAGAACCCCTTCATTGGTAAGCTGCTCTCTTCAACTGGCATCCCTTCTCCTTGCTAAGTAACTATGTGACCCTGGGCAAGCTGTTTCCTGCCTCCCCGCAGAGGCTGGGACAAAGTGATTCCAAGAGACTTCCATGTCCAAAGTGTTGTCACTTCCTAGTCACAATCACAAGGGTACAGCTAACCTCAACCAGTATTTAAGACAAGAAGAACATCTGATGCATCCTTGGGTCCCAGTACTCTCAAGAGCAGTTGAGAGCACCCTTTAACAATTAACACTTTAAAGGACATGGAAACAGACAAGTCGCTAAAGTTTCTACATTCTGAAATCTCTCTAACCCTACTCAATCCCAAGCTGGACTTAAAGGCTCTCCTCAAATCCACCTTTACCATAGTTCTAGAAGGATTTTAAAGAGGACAGAGAACTGAACATGTCACTTGTCCCTTGCAAGAAATATTTCAAGGCAATAGTGCCTTGATACTGCCTGATATTTCAAGGCACTTGGCTTGTGCTACTGACCCCCAAACCACACAAACAGAGACACAGAGAAGATAGAAACGGACTCCACCTCACAAAATACCCTCATCCACTCCATTCCAGTCCCCTGAGGGTATGGTGCTGGAAAGGCAAACACAGAGAAGCCCAGATGTAGGGAAAAGGGAAGGTGTCAGCACCTGGAAGGAAGGCAAGCAGAGTATTCCCTTAACCTTTCTAGAAACTGAAGACTTTATGAATCCCAAATTCCTAAAGCAGCTATACTGTTAAGATAGAAGAATGCAGCCTCCTAAGGCACATAGCTCTAGGAATGAACACTGCATAGCCAAGAGGTCTGGGTTTGAGTTCTTGCTTTGCTGACTCCTAGCTGCATAACAATGAACAGGTGTGTCCATTTCTGAACCTGTTCAATGAGGACAACAGCAGTTCAGTTATGCATCCCTTAACAGTGGAAATGTGTCATGATAGATGTGTCCTTAGGAAATTTGATAGCTGTGGAGACACCACCAAGTGAAATCAGCCAAGCTTAGTACAGGTGGATTTCTTCATGTGGCCTCCTGATACACTTGAGACAGAGTAAATATGCGGTGAATGAAGCCACTGCTACCCGTGTAACACAGAACAGTGTTTTACAGTAACCTTCCTTTTTAAGCAGTAAAAGAAGTATTTCCTAAAACAGCAATACAAAGCATAACCTAGTAAATACATACACCATATAGTCATTTATGATCATGACCAAGAATTACACACAGAACTGGTCATTCTATTCTTGCAAGGTGCACAGCATCATTGTTTTTTTCCACAAGCATTTCCACAAACACATTAGTAATTCGTTGTGCTATGACATTACAAAGTCACTAGATAACAAAACATTTTCAGGACCTTTACAGTCTTACAGAGCTACCATCATAAATGTGCCCACTGGTCAAAACATCTTGACATGGAGCATGACTGTACCACATCACTACTTCATTCACTGGGTATTATGAAAAAGATGAAATTGGGTAAAACATGTGAAGTGCTTACAGTACCTGGCCCACAGCAAGTGCTCAGTGAAGAACCCCCATGTACTGGCACCATTATTTGGTAGAGCTCTAGGCATCTTGGGGGTTGAGAGAGACAGTGTTGTGCTCTGCTCTTACAGACTGGAGTTCTGCAGTTCCCTCTTCCAGGTAATAATTGTAAATATAAACATTTCTTTAAAAACCTTTTGTTACATTTTTATCATTTATTTTGTGTGCATGGGGGGCTGTGCATGTGCACTACAGCATGTGTGAAGGTCCGAGGGGTCTGTTCTTGTAGGGGTCTGTTCTCTCCTTTGACCACATGGGTCCAAGGGATCAAACTCAGGTCAGCAGGCTTGGTGACAAGCACCTTCACCCGTTGAGCCATCTTGCAGGCCCAACATTCCTATAAGTATAATTTTTTTTGTATACTTTACCAGTCTTAACTACTCCCAACCATAGAAACTATTTGTCAAACTTTTTAATTCCTTTCTGGAAGATATTCTAGATTCCAACCTATATGATGACGCAGCCAGGAGGACTACAACAGCACAATGGCGCTGCAGACTGAGATGAAGTGGGAGCACAAAGGCAGCTTTGTGGCTGCTGTGCTATCACATGCAGGGTGCAGTTTCCAGAGCTGCCTCCTCAGAAAGAACTAACAAACTCCATTGTTCCCCCATGTAGGGGTTCTGGGATGCAAGTGTTCTCAAATCCCCCAGGAGGGTGGTATTGGAGATCAGAGGATCAGTTCCTCCCATTGGGACAGCACTTAATTCCTTCAAGGCATTCTTAGGCAGAGTCACTTATTCAAGGTGCCAGGGAAATTAGTCAAACTTCTAACCACTGCACTAGTTCCTTCTTTTGGACTGAAAATCTGAGGTAAATTTTGAAACGATAATAGTTGTCCTGGGGAAATTTTTCAGACTGGAAAAATGAAGATAGTTAAAAATACCATGAGATTTTGTTTTAACACTTAAATCTCTTTTCCAAAATAATCATTTCAGTAAACAAAAAATAACAACAACAAAATTTAATAAAACAACTGGAGTTGTTAGAAAACAATGACCTCAAAAGTTCCAGTTCATTCTCTCAAAGGACTGCTAGAACTCTGGATTTGCAAACACCTTTCAATAGGACAGACAGAAGGGCTAAGACTTGAACTTGTGTTCCTTTGTCCAATAACCAAGGAAAAAAGAAAGCAGCAATCATGCTGTCCATACACTTAAGCACTTAAAAAAAAAAAAAAAAAATCCTGTTCTAAGAAACTCTGGGGACCCTACACACACAGAAATAGAATGGAAGAAAAAGTTAGTAGGCCATCAAGTGGCCACCTACAGTTCTCTGCTCCAGGGCGTCAAGATCTCAGAAAAGACAAGACAGCTGGAATGTGTGCTTACAAAAGTCACTTAACTACTTCTGGCAAGGAGGAATGCTAGTAAAAATGATACGAAGCCAAGAACAAGTCCATACTTGACAAATCACGACCACTGAGATAATGATGTCAACCATAATAAAGCATTTTGGCAAGGCAAGAATGTGCACCTGTGAGAACCTAGGAAGATTTGACAGATTTCTGTTTTCCCTGCTCTTTCTCAGCAAGTTAATTGTAGCGACGGTACAGTCTACCGTCTAGAGAACAGCAACTGGCTGTATAAATCTAAGATGCTGCTCTCCTGGGCAAGGGGCAGACAAAATGACAGTAGTGCTTACGTGCAGAAATATTCTGAGCACAGAGTAACACTGAGTCAGAGAGCAGCATCAGCTGGGAAGGGGGTGCTCTGCAGATGCACAGGTGAGACCGGCTTGAAAAGGAAAGGACACCCAACATCAAAACACATGTACATGTGATTCAGAGCCTGAACTACCCTGGTCACACTGCCATCAGGGATGCTTATCCCCAGAGCAGACTGTACCTTCGCAGCTATAGCTGTACACTGCCACTGCTGACCTGTCCACCAGGTTTTCATCATGGTGCCAGCTCACTGCCATCTTTCCCATGCCAAAATAAGGCTCCTCTTTGAGGTATGGCATTTTCTGAGGATCCATGAAATTGAGCAAAGTCACGTTGTAAGCTGCTCTGCTCTTAATGTCCACTTCATCATCACAGGATGACCCCATGCCAACCCTGGGGAACTCGGCCATGCACAATGGCACTTCATCTTCATTTTCCTTCTCTTTGACAGCAAGTTCTTCCAACGCCTGGATGGTTTCAACCTGCAGATAGTCATTGAGCTTGAGGAAGGTCTGACATGCAGCAGCTATCTCAGCTTCTGTGTAATTTACGGTGGAGCCCTTCACTGGCCAGGGCACTGTGAAGAGCCTGGTGTTCAGGTACTTGTAGGTGCAGCCCGGGTTCCCGATAAGGATGCGAGATACTGGTGTGAGCACATCTTTGCCTTGGATCCTAACCAGGTCCCGAAATAAGCAACCATGCTTGTGCAGTGTGAGGAAGGCTTCTGGTACCTCTTTATGCAGCTCCTCAGACACACTGCCGGCTTCTCGGAGAACCAATTTAGGATATTTCAGCTGCCACTAAAACAAAATCAAAGGGGAAAAGTGGTTATGGACAGCTATCAATTTATTATTCCCAAAGGAATGCTCTCATTTGAAGAGTGCTGGGGGAGGGGGGGACCACCTCATGGATTTCCAAACTGGATTCCTATCTCACTAGTCTGAAAGAGAAGACTTAACAAAACAAATGATGTAAAGCTCTCCAGTGAGGACTGGCAAGTTGCAGCTCCAATTATTCATAATCTTTAATATAAACAGAAAATATGAACAATTTAGTCTTTGGACTCCCAGGCTTCCTGTGTGTCTACTTCCCACTTTCAATCTCTCTTCCAGCCTTTGACTTTACAGAGAATATGACTTGATTCATGAAGTGCTGTTGTGTATTATTTTTAAGTGTGTACTCCACACCAGATGTTGTTCTGATCCATATGCATTAGTTAATCTCTCAGTGCTTTACACATAGTATTGTTTCCAGTTTACAGATAACAACCCTGAAGCATCAAGACAGTTTAAGTCACACAACTGGTAAATATCAGTGCTGGAATTTGAATGCTCTGAACTACAGAGTCCAGCTGCCCCCAGAGGGTATGTCCTTTTAACTATGAGACTTCAAAGCAATAGCAAACTGCCTTCAGTAACTCTGCTCCAATACTTGGACCTGAAAAAAACTACCTCTTTGGAAGCCAGATACTAACTTCTATGAACACAAGAGTCATGATAATTTTATTCAAGACTATAATACTAGTGCCCAGAATATCCTCAGTAAATGTTAAATGGGTAGGTGGATGGAAGGTATAATAATGGTACTAGTGTCACCAGAAGAGAGTATTTCAGACAATTCCCTCAGCTCATACAGAAGCAGGCTTGTTGATGCTGCTCAGGACTCTATTAGCTTTCTAGCCGCCACTCTGGTTCCTCAGCACTTGATGAATTAGTGTCCAGTCAGAGTTCCCTGGCTCTTTATAATTCAACAGTTGTTATTTTTTAAAACATTAGCAAAAGATTTACATTCACCCACTGTGCTAGTTAGCTTTAGTGTCAACTTGACTCACCTGGGTTGAGGGAGCCTCAATTGGGGAATTGCCTTCATTGGACTGGCCTGTGGCCATGTCCATGGGGCACCTTCTTGATTGTTGTGTGATGTGGGAGGGCCCAGCCCACTGTGGGTGGTGCCACCCCTGGGCAGGTGGGCCTGTGTTGCATAAGAAAGCAGGTTGAACATAGACCAGGGGAGCAAGCCAGTAAGCAGCATTCCTCCATGGCCTGTGCTCCAGCTCCTGCCTCCAGGTTCCTGACCTGAGTTCCTACCTTGGGCTCCCAGATGAACTGTGACCTGGGAGATGTAAGCTAAATAAACCCTTTCCTCCCCAAGTTGGTAGTGGTCAGAGTATTTTGTCACAGCAATGACAAGACAAACTAGGACACCCGCTAAAAATTTAATCTAATTTATTCCCTCTTAGTTTTAGTCTGAGTCCTTAAAGAAGAAGCCAGGGAAGATCAACCCACTCATCTGTCCTCCTACTATTGTGGGGTTCATCTCTTTGTGTGTAGGGAAGGGTGTGGGTATGGGAGGGTGTATGTGTATGTATCCATGTGAGTGTGTACACATGTAGGTGCATGTGTACTTGATTGCACATGTGTGCAGAAAACAGAGGTCAACATCAGGTATCTCCCTCAACCAACTGACAAAGTGCGCCTTAAACCTAGAGCACACCAATTGGCTATGCTAGCTGGCCTGTGAACGAACTCCAGGGATCTGTCTGGAACTCTGGGATCACAGATGCTCACTGCAGCACCTGGCTTTCTACAGAGGCGCCAGGGATCGAAACTCAGGTTCTCATGCTTAGCAGCAAGCTGTTAGTTACTTTAGCACAACCTAGCCTATTCTGGTTTATCTATAGCCCACAAAACAGAGGGTCCACAGGACTCCAGAGGAAGTATTGCAGAAGAAAACTGAATTATTCAAGTCTGAATGTGAGGAAATGAATTCACTAAACAAGCATAGTAGGATTGTGCTGCTTCTCAGAGTGCCTATCGGAGCTCTGTGATCATGAACTTAGCACGGAAAGAACAGAGTCATGCTGCGTACTACAACTGGCTGTTACTGAGAATGTCAGGGGTCCATTCTGTATGGTTTCTATACGCCATTTATCCCAATGGGAGAACTGAAACAGCAATGCCATACTTTTTATCTACACCATCCAAGAAGATAGCATAACAGTACAATCCTATAAGCCGAGAACATTCTGGAGCCATACCTTGTCACAAAAGGGGGGAAGGGAGCTGGAGGAGAGAAAAAGAATGAAAAGCTTTAAGACTAGCAGAAAGCAAATTAGCAAATGTCTGGGCTGCCAGTAGAAAAGACAACAGAATGCAAAGGAAGGGATCATTCCAGGGTGCCAGAAATGTTCTAAAATTATTATCATTATATTTATAAAACTACCAAAAGATCATCAACTTCCACAATTCTAAAAGATGCATTTTATGGTATCCAAATTACAGAGTTTGTCAAAAAGCTTTTTTAAAAGATTAATGAATTTGAATGTTTTAAAAGCATATGAAATTTTTAAAAATCAAGCTCTATGATCTTTCAAGCTTTGAAAAGAAATTCTAAAATTATTATCATTATATTTATAAAACTACCAAAAGATCATCAACTTCCACAATTCTAAAAGATGCATTTTATGGTATCCAAATTACAGAGTTTGTCAAAAAGCTTTTTTAAAAGATTAATGAATTTGAATGTTTTAAAAGCATATGAAATTTTTAAAAATCAAGCTCTATGATCTTTCAAGCTTTGAAAAGAAATTGCAACTTAATTGAAAAATTAGGATTAATTAATATTCTTAATATGGGGTCATTACAAATATAAATATATATATGTATATTACTCAACTGAAAATTCACATATATTAACAGCAATGACTCTTAAAATAGCGAAAAAAATTAACTGCGCTAAAACCAAAAAAAATACAAATTAATATATTTTGGGTGCTGGAAAGATGGCTGCTCTTACAGAGGGCCCAGGTTCAGTTCCCACATGGCAGCTAACAACCGTATATAACTCTAATTCCAGAGGACCCGCTGCCCTCTTCTGACCTTCATGGGTGTTGCACAACATGGGTGCCCTTACATACATGCAGGCAATACACTCATACACATAAAAATGAAAATAATAAAACTATTAAAAAATAAAATACATTTTATATCAAGTTATACTTAATTACAGACTATCAAGTTTGTGAAATGGAAATTTTAGAAATAGTAATCCCATTGTTCATGAGGGTAAAATTAACTATTATGGTAATATATAATTAAGAACACAATTTATCACAATCTTGCTTAACTGGACAACATTTATCATAATGTGAATATGTTCTTATCTTTTGATCTAGTTACTTTACTTTTAAGAATTTATCATGAAAAATTAAATAGAAGTATAACAAAATTATTAGAACATTCATCATACTGTTACTACTAACAAATTAAAAACTCAAAACTGCTAAAATGTCCAGGAGGGGATCAGAGGAGAAATGCTACAACTGTGGACTCTAGGATGTTCACATTGTTTGATGAAAATCATTAATAACAAACTATAGCAACAGTCAAAATTATTAACAAGATAGTGAGACAAAAGGATCCCAGCTTCATTGAAAGAAAAAATGTAGCCAGGCATGGTGGTACACGTCTTTAATTCCAGCATTTGAGAGGTAGACACAAGTGGATCTCTTTGAGTTCGAGGCCAGCCTGGTCTATGTAGTGAGTCCCAGGCCAGCTGGGGCTACAGGGAGACCCTGTCTCAGTAAGACAAAAAAAAAGGAGGAGGGGGGGAGGAAGGAAGGAAGGAAGGAAGGAAAGAAGGAAGAAAGGACGGGAGCAAAGAAGGAAGGAAGGAAGGGACGGAGGAAGGAAGGAAGGGGGGAAAGAAGGAAGGAAGGAAGGAAGGAAGGAAGGAAGGAAGGAAGGAAATAAATATCAAAAAATGAACTTGGAGAAAAATGTGATCAAAAGTTGAAAGTCTATCTTCTGAGTTTTAATTTTCTTTCTTTGACATCTACATGATTTTCAGTTTTTCTAAATAACTGTAAACTGCTTGGAATCAGAAAATAAAAGTCAAGGAAAGTATTATTTTCCTGTTGTTTTTAAATTTCATGGCATTGCTTACATTTGCCAGGAAATTTTTTTTGATGATACTGAATTATCAAAACTCCTCACCACAACTTCTGCTCTTGTTTGAATATGCTGCAACTATCATACTAAACTCTAGGCAATTATTTTACCATGATGAGAACAATTAATGACAACTGACAAATTCTGCCACGATCTCAAAGAAGATGCAAGAGAGAAAGTGCCTGCCCCGAACATCCTCTTGTACTGTTTATAAAATGATCCAAGTAATACTGATACACAAAACAGCTATGGAACATTTGTTACGAGCTTTCCTTAAGGAGAACAAGGAGTAACTCTGGAGAAAAGCTCAACGTTAAATAATCTGACTTCACTCTGTCAGAGGAGTGAGTTCACTTTCCATTTCAGACAGGTACATGCAGAACATCAGATATCACATAATAATTTGGAACAGCTGTTGGCAGATTTTCAAATATGTTAGTGTAATTTTTGTTGTTGTTGTTTAATCCTGTTAAAGTTTTTCCAGGGAGTATACAGTCATGAAATTATATTAGTAGTTGTCTGGTCACATATTATACTTCTTGAGATCTATGAACACTTCTGGGGCATAAATGATATGTTTAGTTTAGTATTTAGAAAGGTATGTTAGCTATGATGTGCCAATATACAGACCCTAACCAAAGGCCAGAAGATGCAGAACTCTGGGCTCCCCAGAGATGAGGCTTCTTTTTCTGCTTATTTTAACCTACTATACACAAATTCTACCTTTTCCTCTCCTAACAAGGGATACTCTGAAAGAATTTCATCATTCAGAGAAGACAGGCATGGTGTTAGATGAGTAACACACCCATTCACAGGAGGCTCACTTGAATGAAGCCCCAAGAAATTCCATA